CGGAAACACAAGTATTAAGGAAGAGCGAGAGATTTTGTTGTCATTTTTTTATGTTTTTGCATTTAATGTGGTTACTCAGAGTAATTTTAAGCTTTTAACACTCGCCATTTTCACCTCATCCTTTTTTTAACAAGAACTTTATTTGGCTGGAAACATTAGATGGTCAGAAAATTATCTATTTCCTTATGTTGTCAGTTTCCAGGCGTGCATCACTTTCGTATCGACATTTGAGTTAACAGGACTAGGAATAACTTGTGGCATTTCTTGAATACAGTGCTTTTTTGAACTGTTTAATACCTCTTTCTTGCTAAATTATCCATAATTTTGTTCCAGTAGTGTATAGTTTGTTGTTGATAACTCTTGATGGCTTTCCAGTGCACTTTTTGACTGGATTTTGAAGCACTGTTCGAGTTTTGCTAGTGGTTCTTTACATAATTGGGGGGATTCTTAAAAATTGGTTTTTAAGTGGAAATACTGTTTTCACATTTTGTATTTAATCTGATAATTTTAGAACAAATTTGTTAACTAATTTAGTTGGTTTTTGAACACTTGTTGATTTATTTTCCTGCTGTTGGTTAATGTAATGTTTATTTGTTTCCATAAACAGCAACAATTAGATTCATTGGAGAGGCATTAAAGGCAAATGAGAGATATTCCCAAAAAGCGAAGATTCTTCAACAGACTCTCTACGCCACTGTCACATATGTTGCTTCCTGACAGAAAGGGTTTATTTTAGGTAGATAGTTTCTGGGCATTTAGATAAAGCGAGAATTTAATTGCAGCCTCACTTCATAGCTGTCGATGCTTTGAGGTCTCGAATGGGCTTGTTTTTTCCGAGGGATTGCGTGGAGGAAATATGTTGTACTGTTTGGCATTTCGTGAAATGACGGTAGCCTTTTACTGGAAATCTAGTATTCAAGTAATTATTTTCAAAAACTGCTGTTCTTCTTTTCAAAAATAGTTGTTGACTACTGGATTCACAAGTGCTGTTAAGAAATTTTGTAAAGTTTTTATTGTGGCGCCTCTACCGTGCAAATGAGTCTCAAATTTTATTGTATGCAACTGCTTTTGGTACTGTCGTAAGTTGGTGATGTCATTTCACACAAGTTTCGTTGTCACCGTGAAGGGTATCATTTTGATTCCGTTAGTGCACGAGGAACCTTTCTGGCAGACTTTCTTTAAAATAGCTGAAGTGAAGCTGAGTGGCGATACCCTCAAGTAGTTTTTTTCTGAGTTGCATTTGGTAAAAAAACTACATACTATATATGGGAACAAAAATTGAGTACACTATAAAGAACACTTCTGAGTATTTACAAAACTATTTTGGCAAATCGCTATGCTCTATAAGCAAAATTTGTATGATTTATTCATTTGTGGGACAAAGATGTTTTTTTTTTTTTTTTTTTGAAAGATTGAAGGTGCGGTTTTGTAATGAAGCTTGTTTTATGTTTCTTCGGAGAATCTTGCAGACTTTCTTGTTCCTAACTGGAAAAGTAGAAAAGCTTTACGAGTAATTCTTGTTGAAGAAGTACAGTGAATAGGGCAGCAGAGGAACGTGGGATTTCTTGTTGCTCCTCGAATAAAAATTACTTAATTTGTTTAACTGTTGTTGCTTTCTTTAAAAGAGAAATTATTTAATGTTTTGACAGCTGTTTATTTAATTTTTTGTCGTCAATTGGTGGGTGCACAGGGTACCAAAAAAGGAGCCAATGTAGGATGGTAAATGCTTTAATCAACGCAGGGGTGAAAAATTGTTGAGGTTTTCAGCAAAAGTAGGAGTATAAAACTTAGAGTTGTCTATAGAGCGAAATATTTGAAACCTAGTTGAGTTTTTGGCTCTTTTTCAAGCTTTAATTGTTTCTTGAACAAGAGCAAGATAAATATTTGTTGTTTTTGGAAACTATTATGAAACTTTAAAAAAAAGTACGCTTTTTTGAAATTTTGCTCAAGTATAAATTGAAAGAATTACCGGTGTCAGAGGGATCGAATTTGTTTTTTAGAAGAAAAAAAGGTTGAAGTAACGCTGCATTACGTAGAATTTGTATTTCTTTAGTGTTGATATCATCGTTTTTTCTGCACGTTAAAATCATTCTAATGACGGGAATACGCTAACGCTTGCTTGTGCTCAAAATTAATGTGTTTTTCATCTTTTTTTTTTGTTTATTTGTTTTTGCAAGGTGCGCACTCGTTTAAAATTAACAGGCAGTTTGGAAATTATTTGCTGTTTTAGTTAGCTAATCTTGGAATTTGCAGATCTTTTATTCGGTTTATTTCAAAATAAAAAACTTTGCAAACGTCTTTCTGCCATAGATCTTTTGGTACATGTAGACTCTTTATGACAAATCAAAGCTGAATCATTACCGACTTGTATCTAAAAAAGAAAGGTTGCGAATAAAGGTGAACAGATTTGGTTAAATTTTTTAATTGGTATTTTCTTGTCAACCAAAAATAAAATTGGACGGAACTGAAGTATTGATAGACTCAGTTGCTCTGGGAACTACAAATCTTCACTTGACTTTTCTTCGACAGCGGTGTTTGAAGCAACATCTCTGTTTGGGGATGTTGTTACCAACGGTGAGTTGTAGTTCAGTCTAAATTATTCTAAAAAAGCTTGTAAAAAACTATCTTAAAGTGTAGTTTAAATTGTTATTTTTGCTGCTTTATTTTTCATCGGTATTACTGTTTATTAACTTGTATTAGAAAAACAAATTGGAAAGAATGTTACGGTACAAGTTGTGCTACAAAGAAAATTTAACTGTAAACAAAATAATGGAAAAATGCAATTTTTTTGGTTTGTTCTGTAAAATTAATTTAAACACACAACTACGGAGCAACGCAAAAACACCTGTTCAACTGATTATCTATTGTTTCGGTATAACTTTCTGGTGTCAGTTTTATTTTGTTTTATAATATAATAGTCTTTAATGGTCTTCTTCAATTACAAAACACCTACTACTTTTTAGCTTGAGCGAATGACAAAGTTATGGTGCGCACAGTTTTCACTGTGACACTGAATTTTATTGGATGTTATTAATTGCTAATATTGTTTTTGATACAAAATTATTACTATTATAAATATCGGTATATTAAAAGATACTAACCAGCAAGTCTATGGAAATGTTACACATGGAGAGAATAAGCAATCAAGTTTAATAAATCTGAATAAATTGCAACTTGCTAATTTACCTCAGGAGTTAAAACCAGGAAAGATATGGATAAAAAGGTGTAATACAAATTTGACCGTGCTAATTTTGGTGTATCCAATAGTACAGTATCTAATGCAGAATGATGTACTGCTTTCATAATCAAAGTTTCTTTATAACAGAAATGAAATTTCTTATCTCTAAAGACAGTAGCTCATTGTTGAAGCTTTAAGTGGCGAAGTGACACCTGACTGTTGAACTGACTTTGCTAATGGTTTATTGCAGGTCGAAAAAAAATCATAATACCTTAACTAGAGGCACTACTCAGTTACATTTTTGCTCTCTCTGGTTCTACTTTTTTGATTACTTATTTGCTGCTGAACTCAGGCCACTGCACCAGGTTGCCTGAGCCGGATACGACATCTCAGAAATTTTACAGATAACCAAAATGAGAAAATTTTTTTACATTTTATAGTTTCCAATGACTTTCAACCATCTTCGAGCTCTTTAAGAATTTATTTTTGTTTATTTATTCACCACATTAATTCTTTACCGCTTATTTTCGATAATTTTTTCTAGTACTTTTGTAAAGGGGTTCTGATTATTCGTGCTGCTGGTAATTTTTACTCTAGTTTTTGGCTGACGCGTGATACCTTCATGTTCATTCCTAATTGCTCGCGTTTTTTCATGTTCAAGCGTGCAATAGCTCATTTTCTCACTCTAATGCCATAAAACTCTTTTCTAACGTCTACATATATATACTTACAGGTATTTACTGCAAGAATTTGTATGATTGATAATGATACGCATGCGTGATGTTTCCATAAATAATGGTTCGACCAACTCTTTTGGCATTATGGTGAGCTATCACTGTGCTTTTGTCCAAACATACCTTGGCAAGCACTTGACTCAAGAACTCACTTGATTATCAATGATATGGGTGTCTCATAACTGTTCGTTCGATCAGCTTTTGATACTGTAGTGAGCTGCTGTTGCAGTTTTGTTGAAATATACGTTGGCAAGCACTTAACTCAAGAATTTAGTTGATTCTCATTGGTATGAGTTCGTCATAATCTGCCACGCTCAAACCGGGTCCGTTTCTCATTAAACTATTTTGCGTTTTTGGACTTTAGAAGGACTGTTAGAAATACAAGAACGGATTTTTAAAATTTTTAAATTTTTTGAATTTAAGAAGTGAACGTCGGAAAAGAACGGAATTTACACTTCTATTTATTTGCATCCAAACAATGACGCCATTAGTGAGAGATTTTATTGGTACTGTATGAATTAAGGTAGCTGGAAAGCTTAACCATATTTGCTGGATGTGGGGCTACTGTTCATATTTTTTCTCCCTTTCTTTTTTGTTCATTGTTACAGCGTTGTATGCGTTGTTTAAGCGTCTGGACTAAATTAAACTTCCTGAGTGAATCAGTCGTGTCAGATATTATTTGTGTAATCGTTGAAAAGTGATGCTGATTTAAGCAAATCAAAATAAGTTGCCTGGATAAATTGCCTCAGTTGAACACTATAGTTGTACTTTGAAGAATTTTGCTAGTTTTTGGTAGCTTTCCAGAAGACTAATTTGTCATAATAAATCATTAACTGCTCAACTGGTACAGCAGAATTTGACTGTTGTAATTTTTGTGTGGGGCTTTTAGTCTAAATGTGATTCAAGCTACTTCTGACTAACCGCAGCAACTAGACTAAGTCATGTTACAATGAAGTAAAGCTAAATTTGTTACGACGAGAGCAAATGTGCGCTGAATTCAATTGATAAACTTATTGTATTTCATATTTATTTGTCTCTCTAACAACTACTTTTTTGAGGCTTGTTGAGACGCGGTTCTTGCGAATTTTGTGGTCGCCAGGGCCTTTATTAGAAAAATTAAAATTTAAACTTGATATTGGTTAGGAAATTGATACTAACAATTTTTAATGCTACGTATAAGCGGGTTTCTAAATGGTATTATAAAGTCTTGAAATTAGAGGTTTCGTGTAAAAATGTATTACACTGATAAAAGTTAAAAAGTTTTGCAGCGACAATTTGTGATAATCTGTTAGGCATTTTGCGTTATTTTTATCCGTGATGTGAGGGAAATGTATATTTGTTGGTGGATTTTGTATCAACTGTGAACGACAGCTAAAGCTCGTTTTCTTGGATAGAATCCAAAAAATTGGCCTTGTCCGTTTACTGCGATAAGGTTTTTCTCCCTTTTCATTATTTTACATTTGTTGGCAGTGTTAGTTAGAAAAACTCGTTGTATGCATTACCATAACTCTTCAGTAAAGAGCTCTGAACTAATGAAAAAACTGCGTTGAATAGTTAAAATAACCTGATTTAATACGATTCATCTTTGAAATTTTTCCCCATAAAATTGAACAGTGCTAAACTACAGTGTCAATACCGTTAAAATTGACTACAACAGCAATGTGAACATTAATGATTAGTTACGTGCTACAAACATACACGCTACTGACATTTAAAAAGGGCTTCTTCTTTTAGGTTGTTCTGGTAAAAAAAAAAAGTAAAAGAGGAAAAAACCGAACGAATTGCACTGAAGAGAAATAAATATGACAGAGAAAAAAGCGGGTTCAAGTCCTGTCCAACTTTAGTTCAATTTAGATTTTTTTCTTCCAAAATTTCAAATTCAAAGAAAATTGCTGAAGACAGACAGTTGGCAGATTTAGAATCATTCAATTATTTTTATTTTTTCATTGACAATTTCAGAAGATTTAAAAAATTTCTAATTGGTATGTCGATATGTTACGGTAGTTTGAGCTGTGAAAGATGCGGAAAAAGACGCGAAGAATCATGAAACAATAATGAGTAACTGTTTTTGGATTTTTGCCAGGTCCTGAAAACAACAGTAATGCCGGCCACGTACTCTTTTTGTACATTTCTAGAATTTTTCTCATGCAGTTCTGGAATAATTAAAATACAAGAGTTTTTCATAGGATTACAATTATTTCACTTTTTCAAGACAATTTTGCCACTTTATATGATGCCACGTTTTCGCTGTTCAGAAAGTGAGTAGCAGTAGAGTTCACATTCTTGTTTGGTACGTGGTGAACGCCATAAGTTAAAGTCCAGCTCGGGACAGTATGGAAATACGTACGGTTCACACTGATCAGTGTTTGTGAAACGGTTAACCTAAACAAAAAGAAATGGTAACGTTGACATCATATTGTTGATTTTTTTTTTTTTTTTTGTTCATTCTCATACCTTTTGTTCTCCCCCAAAAGCAAACGCTTACACATTGATTCAGCAGAGTCATCGAAATGGAAGAGCCAGCCTATTGGTTGTATTTTCTTCAAGCTTAGTGATAAAACAAAGAAGCTAAAAGTTCTTCTGTAAAGTGATTTCCCCAACTGTTTTGCTGCATTAACGAGTTAGCAATAACGTAGAGTTTTTAAATCTGCTGCTGTGTAAGTCCCAGTGTCTCAGTGAGTTGTCAATGTACCAAATTGTTTAGTATTTATCGACTTTACTTTGCTCTTCACTTATCTTAAGATTTCCAAATCTGTTATTAATACCTGCTAAGCAAGCATGACTTTAACAAGATTTTGTCTTAATATCTTACTTTATTACTTGCACTGCAGCTGTTACGCTCTGTAGTTCTGAATTGCGCTTGATGAAAAAGTACCAATTATTTTCTGCTACATCCTCTCTCAAGTGAACTGACGAATTCAAAAAAAAAAACTAATGAATTTATCTAATGATATTGGATTTATTCGGTATACTTACTCGTCGGAACCAACGATGAACTTTCTGTGCTGGTGTACGCGTACTGAGCGTAACGTTAGGACATCCGCTGACTATGAGGTCATGCCAAAGTATGAATGGCATTGGATCACATCCTCGTGCCGGCGATCCAATTGGACAAGCACATAGCTGCAATTAACAACACTCTTTTTACAGAGTACTAACAAAATTAAAAGCTTAACAGTTGGGGCGCTGCCGTCAATCTAATTCTTAGTACGATTAACACAAAACAGGCGCAAGAATTGAAAAAGCAAACAAGAACAGATAAATAAGGAAGAGAAAGGAACTAGCTTTTTTCGTGCAAATTTTTTGTTCAATTTTTGTTGTTGCTGCTTTTTCTCGCAGGATTAACGTTATTGCATGAAGATAAAAGCAGGTTTTTTTTATTTTTATGACTTTCAAAATATAAACTGTATGTGAAGTTCTGAAACTGTAACTATATAAATATTTTTTTTTTTCGTTATGTTTACCGTCCGTCTGTTGGATGTCACAAAAACATTACTAAACTATTGTAAAAAGATTAACAGACCAATAAATTTCACGCCTACGAAATAGTTTAAGAGAATACAAGAGTGGTTTTTTTTTTTTTGCATACGCAATTGTTAATGTATTTTGCCTTTTTGATATTTTTGTTCTCGAAAATAAAAACAGATACGGTGCTGTTCGTAGTTCAACAGGAATTTTGTGACGTATAACGTCGGACAATAATGTAGTTTGCATGTGTGTGCATTTCTTTTTATGTAACACATGAAGAAATGATTAAATTAATAATTGTTTATGAGTTAGTGAAATGAATTTGTCATACACTGGTAAAAATGTTCACCAAAAAGCATACACATTACTGTAATATTGTTTAATTTTTTT